AGTTATTAAAAAAAATTGAGAAAGAAATGATCAAGTGACATATTTTACTCAATTTTGTACTGTCACATTTCTATCTTGAACAGATTTCATTGTAATAATGAATTGTGTCTCTCTTAAAATGTTTCTTAATTTAATATTATACGTATATTACGCATCTATAAGCATTATACGTTAGTTATACGTTTTCTGTATGGGAAAATCTATTAACATAAAATATATAAAATATGGAAAATTTCACTTAATTGTAATATATGTACAATGTCAAAAATGTAACATACATACATAATGTGCACATACATATATATTTGTATATATAAAAAGGTATATATAATAATTCTTATTTAAAAAAATTTTTTCCTCGTGTAAAAGTGAAATAAAGGCAATCATAAGTAGTATGTTTATAATTTTTTTTTAATACACCTACATAATTTTACTTAGCTCTGTATGCAATATTACTAAAATGACGCACATACTAAATTGAAGCGTCAATTTATTATAACTATTGCCATGAGAATTCACTGATATCCTTCGAGGACATCTTGTAATAATTATTGTGAATTTTTCTGTAAGTATGCATTAAAAATTACAGAACAGAATTTCTGAACACATTATACGAACACATCTTGTATTATAAAAACTTTATTAAATTACTTACTTAAAAAATAACCTCACTAATCTAAAAGTAGGTTTCAGTTTATTATTCGTCAAATCATATACAACTTTAAAATAAAATAAATTTAAATCTTTAATTTATATTTGTAACTGTGGTATTTTAAGGATTTTCTTCACAAAGAATAAAATATTTTAGACACACATTGAATATTATTGTTTTAAATTCATAACACTTTTATAAAATTAATATTTTAATTATAATATAAAATAAAAATATAAATATTTTATATTTTATAAATAATATTCTAGTATCATCTCGTCTGTTAGTTACAAACTACTTTAATTCAATTATTTATAAATTTTTCATGACTTAGTTCAAGGTAAAAATTATTAAATTAGCTAAAAGCTACTAAATTACTAGGTAATTGTACGTTTAAAAAAAATATATATATTATAAAAATATATGAGCGGAAAAAAGCAAATATTCAGATTAAATTTAAATTTTTTATTATTATTATGTACTTATGTAAATATTTACAATATTCATATACTCGTACATACATATGTACGTACACATAATGCTGTGTAATCATAAAATAACATATTTTGTTTTTAGTTCAGTACTTGTACTTGTCATCTTTTTTCGCTATTTTTATAACACATACGAATGTACATATAACTACCTACACACTTATTTTTTATTATTATATATATATATATACATATATATGAAAATACCGGTGATTCGCGTATAATTATTATTACTTTCATTGTTATCCGTGTACATTAATACATATATACATATTATATACTGCGATTAAAAATAAAGCAGATTGGTACGTTTTCCAAACGGAAAGAAAAATTGTGCTGGCTAGTTTTCACCCGGAAACTATAAATACGTAAACAATGGATGTATGCAATTTTTCGTATAAAATGCAATCACAGTTTTTAGTTGAAATTTTTGAAATAAATATGAAGAAATTATTTCACAAAAATTTTAAACGGTATAGTTATTATTGTTGCAGTAATAATATAAGTGAAAGATTGTTATCAAAAAATATTTATTAAACTAAAGTTTTAGTGCGGTAATTTGAGTCGAAAACAAAATCATGTCAGAATTTTTCGTTCTAAAATTGTAAAATGCTAAAAGTAATAAGAATAGCTTGGATAATGCTAATAAATAACAGTAAATTTGTAATGTAACATTAAAAATTTCTGCCATTTTTCTTATTTCAAAATTATGATCCGGTACATCTACCAATAACCGGTACATTTATGTATACCATCCAAAATTATATTTTATTTCGAAATCCGGAAGAAGAAATTAACAGCAGCTATAAAGGTCTTATAAAACTTACAAAGCATTAAAAATTCACCTCTTCGCTTTTAACGCCAAAATTTGAAATCTGACATATAGATACAAATGTATATTCTTCCTTAGCATTGAATTTTGAGTTGATTTAGTCATGTCCGATTCGTCCGTCTTTTGACTAACCGAGTAATAATTTGAAAACGAATTAATGTCGTTATACACATATTTAAAGAACTATTTAGAGATCTTGTCACTTGATCCTGTTTAATTTGGATTCGAATCGAAGCAGCATTATTGTTATAGCTTCGAAATAACTTCTCGGAAACTATAAGGTTCATATATACAAATTAATAAAATTTTTTCTTAAACAAGTTTTATAATAAGTCAATCAGTAACCATTCCTGTAAAACATATTATACAAGTTTGTACAGCAACTATAATATCATTTCAACAATGAGCATAAAATTAAACAAAATTATTCAGAAATTATTAAAGTATTTCCTTAAGCAAAACTATTTTTAAGCACTTGATTCACAATTTTATGGTTGTCATTTTCTAGATTTTTACAACTTTTGACTAAAATCTATGTCATGTTGAACACACATGATTTTACAAATTACTAGAAATTTATATAAAATTTAAATTAAAAATTTTGCTGTTTTATAAGCCGCTAATTTAATTCTAACTTCTTTTTCCAAGAGAATTAAAATATTTGTATTAAAAACTATAAAATCAACATCAGCTTGTTTTTCTAATTCCGCAAAACTAGTTAAAAGTTAAAAATTTTATCAGCTCAAAAAAAAAATAAAAATTAAAAAAAAAAATCATTTTCTTTCCATTTTCTTTTTATTTTTTTCCTTAATTTTCTTCTTCCATACGTTTTTTATCCTTTACAGGAAAAGCCACGTATTAATTATTATTCATGGCGCGTTAAAAATATAGAACCAACAAAATACTCAAACTTTCGAATTTTCCCAAAAAAAAAAATAAAAAATAAGAAAAACAGAAACCAACTATAGAAATTTAAAATCCTTTTACAAAGGAAATTGGGCGTTTTTCAATTTAGAGCTGCTCTCGATCTATATGTACCGCGTGTATTTATGCTTTCTTTAACATTTCAATTCTCTATTGCTGCTGCTGTTTATTCCCTTGTTTATTCTCTTCTAAAGGTTTCTTTTCCTCCGTTTTTGTTTTTAGAAAATGTTGAAAGTTCATATTACATAAATATGTACATAAAGTTTATGTTTCTTTATGTATATAAGTAAGTATTTGATTAAAGATATGTGTTTTGGGACGTACTATCGCACATTTTAAACAGTTTATTCCACTGATTTTGAATACAAAATATTCTAGTAATTTTTTTTTCCTATTTTCCTTTTTTTTTATGAGATCAAGAGGGAGTTTGTGTTTGTTTAGCTTGTATAAATCTTTGGTAACTTTTAAAAATTATTAAATATTTTATGTACTTATGTAACAAATATTGGTTTTTGTAATTTTTTTTTATAAAAAAAGAGAAAAAATTATTAATTTTTTTTTTGAGTGTACCTAAAATCCATCAATAAATTATTGTTTTATAATCAATTTAAAAATGTACAGGAAAAACAAAAAAACAAAATCAATTTAAAGGACCATTGGGACATTGAATTCAAGAGGAAATATAAGATTTTTTTTTACAAATCTTAAGTGATATATGTACGTAATATGTGTGTGTAAGTGTGGGAATGTTATGAAAATTTTCTAGCTATTTGTTAATTTATTTGCATGAAATTTAAAAATTCCTGTTTTATATTAATAAAATTACTGTTCTAACATTATTTGCGCCAAAAGGTTCGTATTACCGAAAACAATCTAGATGAGAAAATTCTAATTCGTAAGCTATAAAATATAATCGACTTAATAAAAAAACTACAGGAATAAGAAAGATTAAACCTAATTTTGATATACGATTTAACAAAGTTATAAATTTCTGCAATATGATAATCTTAGTCTTCAAAAGTTATGTAAAACAAGTAAATTTTTAAGAAAGTTTTTGAGTATTCCGAAACAACTACATGACTATACTTATTTAATTTTAAATAAAAAAATATAGATTTCTATTATTATTCAATCATTGTTGTTAGTCTCAAATCTCTTTTTGTTTCAGTCATAGTCATTGTATTTTGTGCTCGTCATTTTATTTTAATTGCCATTTATCCTTTATCATCCATTCTCCCCCCCCCCCCCCCCCCCTCCTTTTCTGTATAATGATGACGCTTGTTGCTTGTAAAATCGATAGTTGCTTATTTCCGACTATATCATGTTTTTGCGCCTACTTGGACAATATGCTTCACGCTTAATCAAAGCTTGGGTCACCCTGTATACATAACTTCAATCCTATGACTATAGCCAATATTTCTGCAACTTAGCTAAAAAATAATATATAAATCACAGGAACTAACGAATAAAAAGTGTAACTAAAAATGTAATCGTAAATGTATACAATTATTATTTATTATCTTTGAATATTTGCACCTACATACCTACATACGCACATGTTTTGATATTTATTCCCACTTAATAAAAAAGATTTTCTTATTTACATTGTTCCATTGTTGTTTTTTACGTCATAAATTACTCCTCCTATTTTTTTTTTCTGTTGTTTTTTTTTCATACTCAATTAAAAGTTATCGACCGACTACTCTGTTTTTGATTACATCTATTATAAATATACATACATATGTACACATAATTGTACATAATTTTAATTCATTTGTAAAAATTCAATCCATTCCTCTTTGGTTAAGTATAAACCTTGCTTAAAATCATATTCAGTTGCTATTATACCGTATTAAGGGATAAAACTTATTAAAGGAAAAAAAAAAATTATCAAATAAAAAAAAAGTGTTAAAATACAAAAGTGAATTTAAAAAAAAAAATGTTATATAATTTTTATGTTATTCCGTGTACATTGCTTTCAAGTGCAGTCATCACAACATTATCAACAACATATGCTCAAACTGAAGTTATACATACACCTGTATTAAAAATTAATTGAAAAAATTGTTAATTAAATTTTATAAAACAATTTTTTTTTTAGATTACCAAAAATGATCGAATTAAATTAAATGTCTATTATGAAACACTTTGTGGGGACAGCATAATATTTTTCCGAAGACATTTGACAAGATCTTTGGTTTCAAAAAATCTATTAGAATACGTTGATTTAAAATTAATTCCGTATGGTAAAGCTGAAGTGAGTTTTATTCAAATATTTTGTACAACAATTAAATTCTTTTATACTGTTTAAAATCAAAATTACATATTAATTTTATTTGACAGATTTATGTTAATCCACACACAAATAATACCGAAATTATATGTCAACATGGTCCAAAAGAGTGCGAACAAAATGCATTACATGCATGTGTCGTTGAAAATAATGGTAATACTAAAGATACAATACTATTACTTAATTGTATGATGAATGGATATAACAATGATATTGAATTTGTAAGTATTAATATCAATTATCCTATAGCATAACCTAGAAACCAAAATTAATATTAAATATTTTAATATAAATTTTATTAATTTTTAAAAATTAATTAAAAAATATAATCTTAATTACGTAATTAAAGAGAAAAAATTTTATTTCATATCATTCCAGTGCTCCAATTACTATAGTATTAATGTGGATGATGCAAAAGAATGTGCAAAAAATAGAACTATTATTGATATTTTAAGACCATTTGAAATTGAAACCAATAAAATTTCTCTAACTTTTGTTCCAAGTATTTCTTTTGATGATGTAAGTATTTTTAAAATATTATAGTACGCATTTTTATCATAAATTTGAATATTTCAATTAATTTCGCCCTCGCAATTTATTTAAGAGATAATCATAAGAACAATTATTTTCTAAATAATTGAATTTCTTACTTGTTTTAATAACATTTAAAGAATCTATTAATATTCTACTTAAACAAAGCATAACTTCCACATAAAACAAATTATATGAGAAAAAAAAAGATGAATTTAATAAAATCCTGAAAGAAATTATTGTTTGCGTTCCTTTTACATGAAAAAAGCAAATAGAAAAGCGTAGGCAGAGTTATTTGGTGAATAGAAAACTTTTTATACGGAATTTCAGTTAAACAGGAATAGAAACTAGCCTATGTTAAGGATCAGCACATCAAAATCTTATTAAAGCATAAATATTTGCTATTTGGCTTCAGTTAATATTGTTGTAAATAGATAGCAGTATTGTATAACCTTAAAACGGATGCAACCATTATTTTAAGAATAAATATTGATGAAATATTTTTTAATTAAAAGAATTGCAGAATTTTAAAAAAAATTAAAAGAATTGCAGAAATCACTGTTGAAAAATGAAATTTAAAAGCAAGGAAACCATTTTTCGAAATTTTACTTAAAGTTATAATTTGTCTTCAGATGTTTCTGTAACAAGCATCCTAAAAGTTAAAAACATTCAATTATTTCAGTTACCAAGGTTAAATAAATGTTTAATTTGTTCAAAAAATTGCCACTTCCGATATTGAGTCTTTATCTAGTTGTATAATTTTCATTGTCACTATTTCCTGCTTCTTTAACAGAAGTTAAAGAAGAAAATCATGGTTGTGTTAAAACCCTGTTAAAATGACTTATACACGTAACTTGTTTGTAGTAATACTTTGGTAACATGACAAAATTCCTCTTGCCTCCTTCTTAAAATAATACAATTGATTTGAAATTTTAATAAATGTTTTCAATGAGATTTCAAATTTACAATAGAATTACAATCTTGTCAATAATTATTATCCTTATGAATAAATCATTTTTTCGTTTTTTTTTTTTCTATTTTTTGTATCTATAGACAAAATAATTGTAATAATATTGTAATGTAAAAATAAGTATGGAGACTTACATATATATTAATATAATAGATGATATTAACGTTAATTTATTGTTTCTATTGAACATATTAAATTTAAACCAGTAAATTTTATAGCTGATCCCGTTGTACGTACCTACTCAAATTTATATTACAATAAGACAATTTAATGTATAATATTGGTATAATGTAGGTACCTATGTAGGTATATGGGTATGTAAAAAATAATAAAATTCTAGACGGGTATAATGAAAATATAGGCCTAAAAATAAAGGGAACTAGAAGAATGGATTTGTATAATTGGCCATTAATACACATGAAAATTTTAAAGGACAGTTTTACGCTTGAAATCTCGAAAAATATCAATTTTTTATTAAAGCAACTAGGTACCTATAATTAAGTCCTACATTTAAGGTCTTAAAGTTTATAAAACTATTTATTATATTATATTTTTAGTAAAAACTTAAAAATTTATTTACTTAATGTGCAAATATTGAAGAATATGGTTCTCTACATGAAAAACTAGAGGTGTAGGTTATTAATGTAGAGCTGTAGGCGGTACTAATCCATTGTATTCTAAATGTCCAAACACGAGACATTCATTCTTGTTTCGTCAAAACTGTTATACAAATTTTGATCACAAAATATAAGTAGATGCAACGAAAACAATATCACTCTCTCAACTACAATTGCAGCCATATTAATACATATACATACATACATAAATTTAATTCCATAATAATGATGCTACTGGATTTTTTAAAGAAATTTTTCAATTTCCTACCTTTTCTTTTTAGAATTTTGAGGCGCAAGGACAATACAACTTAAGAAACAAATTTGAATCAGAATTATGTAAAAGATACATAAACAAATTTGGGTCTCCTATCGAAGGCTGTCCATGATTTGCTGTTTCAACAAGAGATGAACAATTTTGCAGTTTTTTTTTATATTTTTAAATATTTTGATTCTTGTTAAGCTCAATAAAAATTATGTAAAAAATATAATTCATATGTAATGTATGTATGTATGTATGTATTTCTTACCTTCTGAAAGCTTGAAATTTCCAAAATCTTAAAGTGCGTTTTATTATACATAAACTCTTGGTTTTTTTCATGTGCTTAGTGCATTTATTAATTTTGCTTTATTTTTTATATTGAAAAACATTTTTAATTTTTCACTAGACTTTCGAACTTTTTAATTATTTTTAACTTACATATATTATTACACTATCAAATATTTTAGACTTTTCGACTGAAGAACGCTTAAAACATTTTTTTGACAGAAAATAAAAATTCATATTGATCAAAAAATATTTCTTTTTAAATAACTTTGATGTAAGCTCAATTGAAATATTGAAGCAGCGTTATGAAAATGGTGAATTATGTATATTTTATTAAATTTAAAAAAAATTACAATCTTATTAATTGTATGTAGCTAGTATTTATTTCAGTTGAAAGATTCAAAGTTGATCGTTGTCAATAAATTTCACTTTAAACATAATTTCAATTAAATCGGGGCCACACTTTCAGTTCACACTTTCAGCGGCGACAAATATGAAAACTTCAAATACAGATTATGAAATTGATTTCTCTTCGTGTTCTGTTGTGAAAAATTCAAAAATCCTTTTAAAAAATTGGAATAATAGAAATCTTATAAGAAAAATTGAATATTCATTAGAAAAATCAAGAATCCTGATTTGAACATAAATAAAAAGTGAGAAGAAGAAACGACATACACGATTAGGCTGTAGTAAATTTTAAAAAATGTGATTGATTCTATCCGCGGTGAAATCTTAAATAAAATTGGAAGGTCTATAATGTTATGACAATTATATGAATATGCGACCGTTATTTTCATATTTCAAAAAACAAATTATCAATAAGAAGTATCAAAATATATGACAGTAGAAAATTCAACGTCTAAACAACTTCCATTATTGTTGTCAAAATTTGACATTTCTTAAATGTCAAAAATAATGTGTATTTTTTACTTTTTAGACCTTTCCACATAAAATTCTCCTGTCACGTCGTCAAAAATTTTTTAAGTTAGTAAGTAAAATTTATACATTTTTCTAGTTGAATTAAAAATTCTACTTTAATCATAAGGTTTTATAACAATATGAGTGACATAATTTCATCAGTTAAAGAGAACCCAATTTTTGAAAAGCCGAAAGTGCAATTCAACGAGCATGGTTGGGGTCCGTGTGAGCTTCCAAGTTTCTTTAAAGATATGCCGTATCAACCTTTCAGCAAAAGCGACCGTCTAGGGAAAATATGCGATTGGACTGGCACTGCTAATGTTGATAAAAAATATCAAAGTAAGCCGATTAAATAAAATTGATATTCATTCGTTTTTAACCTCAAAACAAAGTACACAATTAAAATAATTTGATTTTTTTTATTTTAAGACAAGTATACATCAGCATTTGGAACTGGAAATCAATATTCGTATTACCACGATGAAGATGAAACCACATTCCACTTAGTTGATACAACTCGTGTGCAAAAACCACCATACCAGAGGGGAAGATTCCGCGGAAATTTAAGGAATTTACGGTGAGATGAAAAAAATTATATTATTTATACGTTTAAAAATTCCATATTTTTTTTTTAGTGGTCGTGGAGCTCGTGGAGGTCTTACATCAAATATGACTTCCTTAGGTAAAAGTGTTAAAACGAGAGATCAGCGTCGTGGAAATACTAGAAAATGGGGTACCCGTGGGCCACCACCAAAAATTCGTGATGCATCAGTAGCTGTACGCGCCGATTGGACAACGATTGAAGAAATGGACTTTCCGCGCTTAGCAAAGCTATCTTTACCTAATGTCAAAGATGGGGAAGATATTGTTAGATGTGGAACATTGGAATACTATGACAAATCTTATGATCGTGTAAATGTGAAAAATGAAAGACCACTTCAAAAAGTTGATCGCATTGTGCATACTGTAACGACTACAGATGATCCCGTTATTAGACGTTTATCCAAAACTGTGGGTAATGTGTTCGCAACGGATGCTATTTTGGCTACTATTATGTGTTGTACTCGCTCGAATTACTCGTGGGATATTGTTATAGAGAAAATTGGTAAAATTTTATCAAAAGGCTGCTAAATTTTTTTATAAAATAAATATAATCAATTGTAGGAGATAAAATCTTCATGGGAAAACGGGATAATACCGAATTCGATTTACTTACTGTGAATGAAACTTCTGTTGAACCACCAACCGATGACGGAAGTTCGCTCAATTCTCCAAGAAATTTGGCAATTGAAGCAACGTTTATTAACCACAATTTCAGTCAACAAGTACTGAAAAGCGGAGAAAAAGAACCTAAATACAGTTTTGAAGAACCTAATCCTTTTATTGGTGATGAAGAAGAAGGGGAAGTAGCTAGCGTTGCTTATCGCTACCGAAAATGGGATTTAAATAATGGAATTGTAAGAAAAACTCATTTTACTAATTCAAAGTTTACTAATTTAAACTTTTTAAATTTGACACCGTATGTAATTAGCCTTATTTACAAATAACGATTTTTTAGGTTTTGGTTGCTCGTTGTGAGCACGATGCAGTTCTTCAAACACCAAACGGTGAAACTCAATTCATAACCATAAAAGCATTGAATGAATGGGATTCAAAATTGGCAAATGGTGTTGAATGGCGACAACGTTTAGATACCCAACGGGGTGCTGTTTTAGCAAATGAGCTAAGAAATAATTCATGCAAATTGGCTAAATGGACAGTTCAAGCTATTTTAGCTAGTTCAGATCAAATTAAATTCGGTTATGTGTCCAGAGTACATGTTCGTGACTCTTCAAAACATGTTATAGTGGGTACTCAACAATTTAAACCACACGAATTTGCTACCCAAATCAATTTAAGTATGGATAATGCTTGGGGAATTTTACGTTGTATTATTGATTTATGTATGAAACAAAAAGATGGCAAATATTTAATAATGAAAGATCCTAACAAGCCAATGATTCGTTTATATGACATTCCTGATAACACTTTTGAAAGTGATGGGGAAGAAGAATCAGGAGATGAAGGAGAAACTTTCCAAACAGTTTACTCTTATGGAGCAGGTGGTATGACAAACAAATATTCTTCAAAAAATTAAAAATATGCAATATATTTTTATATTTTTTCTTAGAAAACAAGTGAAACGTTAATAATATTGAAAATACTTTGATGCATTAAATTAAAAATTAGGATTACGTATTAAAGGATGTATTAAAGAGGAATTGTCAAATTTTTTTTAACATTGTAAAACGAACGATAAAAAAAATAAATAAGAACCATACAGAGATATATTTGTGTGCTTTGTTCCCGTTTAGGCATCTAATAAATACAATAAATGCGACACTTGGTTTTCAATTTTATGAAATTTTAAAACAACCAATTCTTTATTATTCACTTCTTATAATCCTTCATGTTTTCGACTATTTTTTTTTACAATGTATTTATCTTATACCAATACATTTCTGTGAGTAATTATAAAGCCTTTCGTTGCTTTCTTAAAATTATATAAAAAAAAATGCGAAATTTGACCTAAATATTTAGTTTGATATATAAATAACTATGTATTGAATTTTTTCTTTAATAACTCATGTAGGATTTCAATGGCTCTTGATTTTTTGTTTTTAATTTTTAATTAGGTACAGACTCATTTAGACTGTAAAATTCAAACTCCACTTTACTTCGGAACCATTTTAAAATTATTTCATAAATGAAATTTTTATTTTTTGAATCGAAAAATGTAGCATTACAATATTCAAAATAAATTATGTATTGTGCAATGCCTAAATATTAGTTTAAAAATAAATAAAAAAAAAATTTATTTTAATTTTAACAGATTCATTGATCATCAATTAATCTATGATGATTTCTCTATATTTATAGCATGAAGATAGATTAATTTACATATAAATTTTGAAAAAAAATTACAATATTTTTTTAGCATATTATTAAATTGTAATCTAAAGAACAAAAAAACTCTAAAATTTAGAAATTTTATATTATATTCGCTAAATTATTTAAAAATGAAAAACAAGTACATATGAAGAAATTATGAAATTTTTTAAAAGTAATTGAATAGTTCTTGATAATTAAATATTTTCCTATTTACATTTTATTTAAAGAAAAGAATATTTTTTTGATTTTATTATAAATTAGGTACTAGCTTGCATAGATTTATAACAATTTATTTTTTCATTACATAAATTTTATAAAATATTTTAAATTTTTAGTGCATTCTATACTATTTGCGGCTAATATTATAAATATAAAAAATTAAATTAAAGAAAACCTTTCATTTCCTATTACAAAACTAATAATAAGCGTGCCGTTTTACATTTTAAATAATACTGAAAATATAGAACATATGCTAACTAAATAACGCAAATGTGCCTATGTAGGTATTATTTATATATAAAATTTAGTTGAAGATTTATTTATTTGTTTTTTTTTTTTAATATACATACCATTTATAAAATTTAACTGGTGAAACAAGAAATAATAAATATTGTTTCATTGAATTGAATATTTTTCTTAAACGTGATTAGGAACAAGAAAAATAAATGTATATTTTGCAATTAATTCACTTAATTGATTTTTTATCATTTCTATTATACTACTGCTAATTTTTGTTATTCAATAATTTTATTTTTCGAAATTAATTCTACTTTAAGAAAGAAATTATCCAACAAGCCAGCTAAAGTTAAACAAAATCCACGGCTGGCAGGCACAAGAGGGAATTCGGGTTGTGTTACTATTGCTTTAATAAAAAATAAAAGGAAAAACATTATTAAATATACGTTTACACTTATAATTAAAAAGTACTATAATTATGTACCTGTACTATGTGTCGGCGTTTGTAAAGAATAATTCATCCAAGATTTAATTCTATCATACATCAACTTTCCACAATTTTTGAAATGATTATATATTTGTTCACGAAATATATCAGGAGGTTGAACTAACAATTTTGTCATAGACTGAACTAACTTTATTATAACCATTTCATTATACATTCGTGAATTTTCGCGACCTTGTTGTGTGCCTGAATTTTCAATATTAATATGTATTTCACACAGTCATTATTTTAAATATTCTCTTACCTTTTTGTTTCTCATATCCAGCTTCATTAAAATATGGTTCTGCTACTAATATTAAGCCTTGAATCGAAACAATAACTTGAAGTAATGTACTGTTTGATGACCATACCTCTGAATCCCGGCCGGCCCAAGTTCCCAACAGCGAAACGCATACTTTTCCGTCCTCATATAAGTTAGGATTTAAGCGATCTGAACAGTAACTTATATAATGACATAGTGGCGGAGTTTTTGGATAATCACGTCCTAATTGAATATCGAAAAAGAACATACCATCTTCGTAAGGGGTTTTTTTTGGACCTTCAATCATAACACTAACAAGATCCATTCGATCTTCAAAAACTCTAAATAAATTATAAGACAACTATGAAAATTTTTAAAGTAATTTTAAAAAATATAAATAAAAACATACCGGACCCATACACCAGAAGGCAAAGATGTTTTTAAAAGTTTGTGTTCTCTTCTAACAGCCCTATAGTATTGTTGTGGATTAGCCGGATGAAATATTGTTAAATGAAATTTGTGAGTATTTGGCGCAGTTTCCATTACCTGGAAACATTCTGAAGGCACTGGCGAAGCAAGCGGAGTTGAAACCTCTGTAGCAGGAGTACTTGGTATAGAAGAAAATGTTTTATTTTTTATTTCAAGTTTTGGAGTCATATTTTTTTCGACATGAACTCCTTCATCTTCGAAATCATTATTTTTGTCGAGCTCGTTATCTAGTGCCTTTAATGACGGAGATACAACTGTAAAAGAATCCTTATCATCGTCTGAATCATCATTTTGATTTTTTCGATCAATTTCTGAAGTCTCTTCATCTTCAGGGAAAGAATATTCAACTATATCACTTAAACTAAACACGGTCTTGCAGTATTTTTGCTGAATCTCTTGAACAGCTTTTATCAATTGACTTTTTAATAAAGAACATAGGCGAGCGCAAACATGCTCTGGAGAATCGTCTGTTAATTCTATACTACTACAAGAAATTGACTTTTGATCATCGTTAGCTTTTAGTAAACTGTTATTTACATCAGCCGTTAAGTCGTTTGAGCTTGCGTAGCTTGTAGAACTGCCGTCACAAAGCTCGTTTCTTGAATAACTTCCTGAATCATCCTGAGATGCTAAGCTACAATTCATTTTTAAATTATTTACTTTTTCGGTTTCCTGTGTTGCTTTATCGATACTATTCATTACGGACGAAATCAACATATTTTTCTCATTACTTAACATTTTCGAATCAACTGCAGTTACTGAATTGCTATTTGACTGCAAAGTACTATTAATATGCTGTTGTTGAAAAATTCTCGAAGCATTAGTCACAACCAGCTCAGTAGCTGAACTTTGCCCTATATGATTGTTAGACACCGTCATTATATTATTTCCGCAAGCTGATGAAGAAGTTTGTCTTTCTATTAATGCTAAAGTGGATGAGCCAGTTGAAGTTTCCGTTAAATCTTTATTAATCAACTTTTTCTTTGTTACATATTTAAAAGGTGTTGATGATAAGTTTAAAATTACTTTTGGCGAGTATTCTCTAGGTGACACAATTAAACTTTCTTTTTTCCCAGGTTCTACTACTTCATCGTTGTTACTAAAGCTTGCATTAGCTGTAGTTAACTTATTAGAAGGACTTTGATTAAAGAGACGATTTTTCTGATCCTGTGCTCTTTCTGAGGCAGATTGTCCTTTACGAACACGTTCTATGAGACCCATAAAATGATCTTCGTGAAAGAATGATGTATTCATTAATCTATCTAAATAACGACATTTTTTATACACAGCCAGTAATTTTCGCATAACTTCTTGATTTTGTAGACTTGGATTAATATTAAAAATCTCTTCTAAAGTAGACATTGCCACACGTGCGCGTTCTAAATTGACAGCTAACAAAGACTCTGAAACGCCTTTTTGAGGAGAACCACCTGGCTCACTAATTTCACTTTCTGTCTCCCAGGAGTCATTTTCAGAGCCGTTATTTCCCCAAAAATTGTTATCCGCGTCATATTGCCCAACTTCAAATAAATCCTGTGGCCAGCACATGCTTATATGACCATCAACCCACCAAACCTTCACTCTACCATCAACATAATTATCAATAATTTGACCAGCTGTACACATAGCATCCTCGCCTACAAAATTAGCAACTCGTATTACTATAGTTCCGGGACGATATTGAAAATCTGGATGATCTTTCAAGTCATAAACGCTGACTTCAGATTCTCCTGTATAAGTTGGATTAGGTTCATCTGCAGAAGTATAAGTTGTAAACCATTTAACGTGAGCTGTTCTTCCTTAAATTTTGAAAAACCATTTTTAACATCTATCTAAAAAAAAATATCATTGTCAATAAAAAAGAAATTTTTTTACCTTGATGATCAACAGTTTGAATAACTCCATAGTCTCTAAAAGATATATCAGCTCCTTCTTTTCCAGACAGCACAAAATCGCCCGGAAAAAATTCATGATCATCTAAGTGATGTATGGGATATAGTTGTGTGGATGGGATGTTCGTTTCAACCGTTCCATCTTGCCAAACCACTGTAGCTGTGCTATAAACGACCAAAGCCTCTGTAACAATTTCATCTCCCACAGCTGGTACTTTTTCGTTTGCAGTTGTGGATGTCTTTCTTAATTTTTTCAATTGCTTTTTGTGTAATAAGGGAGAACGTTTAGGGCTACTTTTTGGTGTAGGGCTGGAGCAGGTTGAAATTGTAGTTCCAGTGCTGTCAGAAAATTCAGAAACATCAAACATATCTTCTTCTTCTTCATCAGTTTGCCAATCATCTAAGAGGGTGTTTGGTTTTAATTTATCCAAATCATCAATATTTTGTATAACAATTTGTTCTTCGTTTTCGGTAGTAACTGTAACTGACGGTTGGGAATTGCTACTAAAATTTTCAGTCTCCTTTCTCTCACGTTCTTTGTTAGTTGTGACATTTGGTATAATATTGCTTTTATGTACGTTTTCTATCTGGCTAGTGTTTGTATTATTGGAACATACAACATTTTTTGTAATAACATTAGAAGTTTTTGATGACTTTGTTGCAAGTAATTGCTTTTTCAATTCTACGTCCAAAAGTTTTATTTTAATTTTATCACCAACGCATACTTTGGAGGTGCCTTTGGTATTTCTATTTTGACTTTGGTTGTTCTCTTCTTTTTGTTGTTGGCTCATTAGCAGTTTATATTTGATAGCTAATAAAAATTTGCCATTCAATAAAGTTCGAATAGGTAGGTACTCAAAAGAAAAATAATTACCTTGCTCTTTTTCCCATTGTGATTTTTTAACAATCACATCACAGTCTAATATTTTTATGTAGTTCTTATCATTGATTTGCAGCATACAAGACTCAAAAAGATTTAAATATCTCAATCTTTTAAGATCTTCACCAGTTACATACGGGCTTGGTTGAACTAGCATATTAGCCTTTAAGTCATCACAGTTTTCTTCAGAAAGGGCTTTACATTGCCAATGCACCCAAACTCCTTCAATTTGAACTGACTGGACTGTAAACTGTTACAAAATATAAAGATTATCTATTAATTTTCTTGCACTCTAACTAAAAATACCAAAGTATATTTGTATATACCTTTCTTGCTAAAGATTTTCCTTTTTTATTAGTTTTTAATGTTATAGAGGGAGTTAAAAGTTTCACATTATCTAAATTTTCAAGTCTCCCAGTAACAACTTGCCCAGGGTAAAAAACAGTCTCTGCAAACAAGCCATTCCGAAATTTGGTTGATCTATCTTTGAGAGGACAAACATCTAAATCAGGGATTTCTATTACTGCACCGCATGAAGATCTGTAATTTAAATTGGTATATATTAAGTAAATTTTATAACAATTTATCTTTAAGGGACAAACTTCAAAATTATTTTTTCATTAACACATTTTGTGCTTCCAACCCAAGAATCTAAACATACTGCATTATCTCTAGGTACTTTTACTAAAGGCTTTAAGCGTTCTGCGTTGACATTTTTGATAATATATTTGGTTCCAACAACTTTAAGATCGGCCCGCATGTTAATTTCTCTACAATAGCCTCGTTGGGTATCCTTACCATGTACTAAACGACGAACAACGTCGCCGGGCATCAAAGTTCTGTCGGCTAATCCGACCTGAAAATCGTTTTAATGAAATCAAATATGGTTTTCAAAATTTTGTCAATTCAAACATTTTCAAGCATACGGCAAAACAAAATCAAACTATTACATAATCGAAAATTTACATGAACTTTGAGATTGAACGCATTCTTTAATGCCCCGTTTTTCAAACAATTTTCATTTACCTGTGTTTCCTTCAATACATCCTCGCGCCCTTCTGGATGCCATGCTATTCTGATTTCACCTTTTGATAAAATATCATCGAAGTTATCCTCATCATCGCTTGAAAAGTTTTCCGAATTTTCTAAAACTAAGCCAAATTTAACTCGACCTTTTTTATCCACCCGAAAAACAAGGTCTTCATAGAAATATTGATTGTCTGCGGGACCAGCCGTAGATGCTGTTATACCACTAGCCATAATTTATTTAATTATTCATCGGACACTTTTTTAATCATAAATAACTTTTCCTGTTATATGATTACCTTTAGTATAACTGATTTTTTACAATTTCTCTTGACAATATTTTCTCTTTACACCACTACGCGTACAGATAATGACATTTTTAGTTGTCAAAATAAAATAACATCATAGGGGAATGTGTTGCCGTTTAAATGTAAAATTTTGAAAGATAGAGATGTGAAATAGAATTTTAATTTTTATATTAGAATTTCAAGTTAAAAAATATATGTATATACATACATATTTAAATATTTTTAAAAATTTATTTTATTTTAAAAATTTATTATAATTTTCAAATTCAGTTACTTTTCTAAATTTATCTTTTAATAAAAATTTTTGAGGTTTTATATAATATAGTTTTTTATTTTAATACACGATAAAACATCTGTGTGCAAATTTTTGAGTATAAAATGTACCTATGTAATCATTACATAAAATATCATTATAACATTAATACTTCTGCTTTAGATCAGTATCCTGGTCTTCTGTTATGTAAAAATATTTTTGTTATGTCAAAATATGTACTATAATGTTATACATGTATAAGAATATCAATACTTTGCACGCAAATTTTGTTTGCAAGGAGAATGAAATGTATGTGTGTATGTGAACCATTCATGCAAAAGTTTTTGTGTAAACACAACTATTATAGAAAAACACAATATGAAAGTACATATTATATTATATAGCTACATATGTATGTACATACATACATTTACCAAATTTTCCAAATTTTATCCAAATTTGAACGTCCAACGATTTTAAAAGTTTAAAAACGTCAAGACTTCAAATAAACCGACTGTTAACGCCTTACGTTTCACTTACGTATGTTCATATTTCCTACGATAAATTTTATTTTCACATAGTTGGTGCTGAACCCGGCTAAAACTAAATATAACATTTTATAGTTTCTCATTCAATTCAATAATCAATATTGAAATGCAAACTATGTAGTTGGTAGGTAGGAATGAAACAGTGAATTGAACTATATTATATAGGAAAAGTAAATTATTTATCAAAATAAAAAATTTTAAAAGAATACACATTTTGCAAAAATATTTGATTTTAGAACTCCAGAAATTGATGATAAACGTACAATAATCAAACTGATGTCAACAGATATAAATATTTCAAAAAAGCTATTAAATTTTTAAATTGAAGTAATTTTGATAAGTTGCAAATTATACAGGAAGGAAAGCAAGTGCTCACCATGAGCATTATATGTATTTGAGAAGAACAAGGAAACGAATTTCTTAAATAAAACAGTAGGCAAGCGGATATTATTATTACTTTATCTTTTTAAATAATTTAAGTAGATCAAATAATATTTTTATAACAAAGTTAAATTTATCAATTTTATGGAATTTGACTTAAAATTCCTGTAAAGCAAATCTCAAAATTTGTAAACTTTCATAAAAATGTTGCAAATTTTTAACAGAACTTACTTAAAATTAATATCAACAAATAACAAGTATTATTAAATTAATTATGGTCTAAAACTATATATTTAAACTTTAATATGCTGTAGATTATGTATACACCTTGAAATATTCAATTTTTGGATGAAATTGGCCGCCAAATTGGAACTTTCGAGTTAACACAAATTCAATTTTATAAAAATTATCCGAAAGAAAAAATTCGACTATTTGTACCTATAACTTAAAATGAACTTTTAATGAACTATAACTTTTTTCTGTAATATGTAAGAGTAGAATTCATTTAGTCAATTGAATTGTATAAGCGCTTATAATTTGGTACTTCATCACTGTTAGAAAGTATTAGCTGATTTTCTTTTACTAAACAAACCTAAAAAATAATGATTTTGTTATATAAATGATAATTAGATTATTGGTTCTTTTTTTTTACCTGATGATATGTTCGATAAAGAATAATTAAGGAGGGTCCATAAGCAATATTTAACAAACCCACAATTCTCATTAACCAAGGGAAACCAATTGTCTCTGCAAGCTCTCCGCCAATTAAAGGGCCTTAAAAATTCCAAATATTAATTATATGTTTAATAATAATTTTATGAAAGTATTAGATAATTAATAATACATATTACCCAAACTATATGCAAGACTAACAGAAGTTTGTTGTATTGCATAAACGGAACCATAACTTATATAAATTTCTCCACTTGCTGTTGATTCATCATCGTTGATTTTTAATTCTACCAACGAAGCTAATAAAGGCACTAATGCCGCGTCAATTATACCGATACTCATTCCTAAACAAAAATGGGGCAGCAACAATTTGTACACGGAATCCGCAATAGGAATCTGAAAATACCTTTTTAAAAAAACTTACACCTATTTAAATGACGATCAAATAAAAATATTGCTTTGACTTGACTAATTCATGACCATGAAAATTAAAAATGTTTTGCTGGGTTTATGAAAGATATTTACAAAAATTTTATAAATTCGTTAAGCATGATATTAAATACCGCGTTTTTTTTTTGTAAATTGTAGGAACGCAGCTTTCATTAAGAAAGTTTTTACGGGATGCCTCACAATCTGTATAATTATATGAAAAATTTTTAACTTAAATTCTAAATATTTGCACTATTCAAATTAAAATTTTTTCCTATACTCTTTCTGGATTATTTAGGCGCTGGTCATTTAGTCAAGCCTTAGTGAAATCTAAGATATAGATCGACCTTAATTTACATATCATGAATTTTATAACTGATGAGTTATGAAACAATGTAAAATTAAAATAATTTTATAAATTAATATTATAAAATTTTTACCGCTAAACATGATATACCAACAGTTGCTAGGGCAATACATGAAATTTTGATTTGGCCAAAATTATATGCGATCATTCCAAAAAAGTTGGTTCCAATAAAATATCCAATTGAATCTGGAATAAAAACGGTTCCCAGCTGCCATTTTTTTGGGTTAAGATTTTGAAGCAACCTAAAAGTAAATTATTTCATAATTATTATAAAATATTATGAAAAACGTAAAATTACAAATTTATACCATAAAGGTAAACACGGCTCCAAAATTGCCATAGCTGAAGTAGATAATAATATTCCCAAAGCAAGAGCCATTACAAGTTGATTTTTCAGTAAAAATTTCCATTTAGGTTTTTCTGCTTCAATAACTATATCAGGAGTTTTATTAAATTCCATATGTAATATTTGGAGAGCTAAAATTGAGTTATACAAATGTCTTTCATACGTACTTTGTTTACTATAAAATATTTTCTGCAATTACCAATTATAAAAGCTATGAAAACACACAGCATAACAAAAGGTGCAGATTTTCCCACGAAATCATATGCAATTCCACCAAGTGGATAACCAATTAGTACACCTAGAGCAACACTGCCCAAAATTACTCCCATAATTTTAGAACGTTTGTCTTCTTCAGGATAAAGCTGAAATTTTATTTTAAAATTCATGTACATACACTGGCGAAGCAACTCTAAAATTATTTAACTATTATCAAATACTAAAATATATGAGCTGGATTAAATCAAATAAAATTTTTACTAAGGTTATTATCAAGTTTTGCAGTATGCTAGTGATAGAAAGCACTAAGAATTAACCAGAACACTCCGTCCTCTAACAGTTCTAATTGTTAGTTTGAATAATCTTATACATACCTAGCATTTCCTTAATTACAAGTATAAATTAATAAAATTAATTTTTAAAAATTTAATGATAAATTTAAAAATTTTCGGAACTTATACAATATTTTTTACTTTCATGAGGCAAAATACATATAATGTATGCACATATTTATGGACATAATAATATACACTATGTATATCAATATATTCACATATGTATCTATATAATATGTACTTACACAGTAAATTTTCCTCATCTGTTTCTGTTTTAAATTTTCAATTACGCTTATCAGTTGTGAATTTTTCACATGAGTGAACTTAGGCAAGACAATTTATTTGATATTCATGTAGTGACGAATACGAGTATAATAAGAGTTTAATAATATGTATGTATAAAATTTATTTACGTGTATACATATACAAGGTGTCAACTTCAGCCTAATTTTTTTTATTTTTATAAATATAGTCATTTGATCATTGATTTAGCACGCGAAAATAAAATAGACAAATAAATTTTTTAATATAAATTTTGTGTTTTGCAGATGTTTATTTAAATTTAAAATAATTTACTTGTTAGTTACATATGAGTTCTTTAATAAAATTAAACTAAACTTAACAAATTCAAGCAGTCAAAAGTTATCCATTCGGCGTGGTCGATCAAAAAAATTGCATGAGTTTGAACAAATAGAAGAAAATTTATGTCTTCTCATTTTATTATATTAAAACATAATTTATTAACTGTAATGTTTTGTAATTTATTAACTGTAATGATAACTAACTTTTACAATAGTACTTTTCAGAGAGCATATATAAGTAACCTAATTATTTAAAGAACACTCTTTAACACATTTTAATACGTTATATTATGGAGACAACTTATAAATTCGCATATTATTAAGTGTGAATATGGTTTTCGTATTTAAATACACACATATATGAATATATGATGTAGTATGTGAATACTTCAGTGAAGAATTGTAGATATATTCAATAACTTGACAAAAATCTAGATGCATGCAAATCTTTGAAAATTTTATAAATGTTTTGAATATGTGTAAGTGAGACACTCTGCCCTTATTGTATATGGAAATATTTTTTATGAAGTTTTTACTAATTGAGCAACTGCATAATATATCTCGGTCGTATTCACTTTGCGAGAAATATCTAACCTATTTTTATAGTCGTATTTAATAAAAGTCGTGGAAATAATTATTGATCTAATCATTATTCTTTATCAATATAATAATTCTTTTTCTTAATTTAATTTCCACTTACTTGAGCAACCAAACTCATTCCACATACACTAATACATGACGAACCAACACCTTGTAACATTCTTGCTAATAAAATTGTTGTATAAGTTTGTCCAGTGGCAAAAACTATAAATTATTATAATATTGTACATTAAATTGTTATAATATGGTTCGAAACTTACCAAATGATGAAATAAAAATACAGCATGTTCCAAAACAAATTGGAAAATAAAATCCAATTGTTGTTGTAAGACCACCAATTATTGGATTACAAATTAATTGAACGAATGCTTTCATTGCTAATAATAAGCCAATTGAAAAATTTTCTTTATCAAATGATCTTGAATGCGTCACTGTCAAAAAAGTTTTATCATCATTAATTTTTGATGTTGAATTAATTAATGATTTGCCGGGTATTGGATGTTTTGTTAAAATATTTGGTACATAATGTAAATCATAATTTTTATAAACAACACTCTGTGGTACACCCACTTCTGTTTTATTATTAATTTCCGCCAAAAAATCAGGTAATATTGGAACTTAAATAATATAATAAAAAAAAATTTATGTGACGATAGTAAAATAACAAAAGGAAAGTAACAACAAATCATTTTCTTACCAATTACTGTTAATAAAATGTTATCCGCCAATAATGCCAAATAAACTATTACTGAAATTATATAACGATTTTGTGTGTGTCTTCTCTGAGTAAATTCGTCGTGGACAGTATTCATATTTGCAAACGCGAATAAATTCAAATTCTATTGAATTATTTTCAAAATGATTTTTTTTTTTTATGTTGTAATTTTATCTAATTTAAACTAAAATTAACGTAATGAATATTTATATGAAATTTAAATAAAAAGAAAAAGTTCTTGCCACGTTCAACAGGTAGGTATTTATTTGTTGAACTGTGCTAAACTTTTAAAAGGATACATGAAAAATTTTTCCTTTTTATATATTTAAAAAATTTTGAAAACATATGTACGTGTGTATGTAATTTATTGAATATTGTTTGTAATCGAAGCATCCTTTTAAAATTGATATCGAAGTTTATTATATAAATGGTATTAGACTAACCATTGTGTTGGAAAAGAATTCGCGTGTCAGTGTTAAATAAAAATATTAAAAAAGGAATAATTTTGGAAAATAGAGACAAACAATGTTAATAACAAATAAAAATCCATTTTAAATTGCATGAGACTAAGGAAATTACAATTATCAGCTAAAATTATTCAAGTAAATATTAAAATATTAGAACTTACAAAACAGTTTCCTAGGCGTATATACTGGCTAATTTTCATTTCATGAATACCGATTCCCCTATTCCAAATTTGAGCCCCTATTCCAAATTTGAGAAATCACCGTTAACTCGATAAACTCATTGAAATATATTTTATTCGGTAAATTTGGTTTGTTGCCAATTAATTTAAAATTCTGTAAACATCTATTGTTTTCATTAAGTATTTTAGCCAATTTGAGTGCATTAAAGTAAGAAATTTGTGTTTCTAAATTCTCATATAACTTGTATTTATGTATATTTTTAAATTTTAAAATATTTTAATGAGCTACTTTAAAAATGAAATGAGTAATTTGAGTACTTAATGAGGAATTGTAAAAAACTTAATGAGTAAAGCACTAAAAATTTTTTTATTCAACAAAAACGCAAGCATAAACAATTTTTAAGATTATGTCAAATTTAACTTTTGATTTTAATGCTTAATGTCACTTTCGAGGCAATAACTTTGGGTTTTTTCTTTTTGGGCTTGTATATAGATCTAAGTTTTAAATTAAATTGAGAAATTTAAATTCAAATTGAGAAAACAAATAAGCTTTGACTATATTTAAGTGCAGAAGTATATACTATCGGTCGCGAAACTGCTTTTTTTGTGTTTCGAGAAAAACGAATTTAAAAAAATACCAAATAATGTTAATTTGCGCAGATATGTGTAAAATTTACAACGTTATTTTTCCGAAATTACTAAAGTTAGAGTTACTTGGGTTTTTTATAAAGATAGTTTCGAAAATTCTGAATTTTTCTGTATATATAGTACTCAAGACTCTCAAAGAAGCAGTTTAATGACTCTTTCATAATACTGACGATATATGAATAGTTTTGATTTTATTAGTGATGGTCTCTTTAATATTTAAAATCTTGTATACATACTTAAATATAGATAAATATGTACTATTATAGAATATGTATAGAATGCAGATGTGATATATGAATAAAGTTATTATATACTTACATATATATTTATATTTATAAAATTATATAATAAAAAAATTGTAACATAACTTTGTATATATTGAACATTTTTTTTTTATTTCTGCATAAAAGTATAATGTGTATACTTGGATATAATCGTTATATTATTATTGCCACTAACTGTGCTATTGTTAATGTGATGCAAAATGGACTAATAAACTTTGTTATCATTAGAAAGGAATTAAAGAGTTTGCAGAAAAACTCAGTACTATTTGAAATAAAACTATATAATCGTCAAAATTTGGATTTAATTGAGTAGCAATTCAACACCTTGTAGAACATGGATTCAAAACTTTCTCTTTGTATTGCTTTAAGATTAATGTTACTTTTATTTTGAAAAAGTGATTCGGTATAAAATATTCAAAAATTTATTTGGAAATTTTCTAAACATTTTTCAGTTTCAAAACAGAATTTATCGTGGTTCCAAACCAAATTGTATTCAGAATGCTATTTGGATTGCTAAATAAAATGCACACATGGATTGCAGTAGATTACTAACTAAAAGACAATGCAATGATCATTTAGGCAGCCATAGAATAATATAAAGTAATAAATTTGTGCCTAATTTTAAACTTGAATTTGAATACTGTATATATGTAAGTAATCTAATTACATATAATAATATTAATAATTCTTTAAGAAAGAACGATTTATGTGTATTTTTTTTTAAATATTTAACTTTATTTTAGTGGTTTGGTTTGTTTGCATTGCGTTCAACTCCAGGTGATAGAATATAAATTAATAAAAAATAGAGAGTCATAGAGGTTCTACTTATTGTGGCAGCTGAAAAATACTCAGAATATTTGAAAATAAATACATACAGTAAGTCTCAATACTTTTTACGCCACTATTAAATCATAAAACATCTGATTGAGAAATTAACTCAATAAGAGTTAAGAGTCCTTAAATTTTTGCATATTTTTAAATAAACAAAAATTCATTGACATTCACTTTCTGTTGTTGCTGATTTTTAGTAAAGGAAAACCTTATAAGTACATTTTTTTTGCAAACACGAGAATTTGTCCAAAATTATTCATTTTGCTCCCCCATCCCCTCAAATTTTATATGTCATAATATCTCTTTTAAAATTAATAAAAAAAAATAGATCTTAATATAGTCGCATTGTAACAATACAGGAGCAATTAAATAAATTCGGAGAAGAGGCACAAGAAAAACAAAAATTTCAGAACTCTCATTCTATTCTCTTACATATTATTCTCTATAAGAATAAAATTTTAACTAAATTGATTTGATATTTTAGAAGATCTTAATTCATATTCTGACAAATTTGTGTTGTACAAATATTATTGAAACCGACTGTATATTATATACCTACTTTTTTAAATATTAATGTCAAACAATTATAGAAGAAAAAAATAAATCAGAATTTTTATTTCACCTTTCATTCATATATGTATATCTCATCCAGAATAATATCTAATTTTTTTTTTTTTTTAGAAGAACAACATGGCTATTTACTTAATCAGCAAAATCGTTATCGATAGATTTACAAGTATTATAAAAGATTTGAAGAAAAAAAACCGAATACTATATAGCTACACCTAAGCCGAGCATACTTATGATACCAAATAAAATCTAAAGGAAATATTCATTTTATTCGTGTTATTTTAATAATATTCGCATTCATAATTTAAGCAGTTGAACTCAAAACTCTTTGTAGGTCAGTTCATTTTGTTATAAAATCAATTACTCACAGAAATATTTTCACGACGGAAGAGTTATATAGTATATACCCAAATGTGCATAGCATTTATTGTTGTTTTATAAAATAATTTAAATATGAAAGCTTTTACAAATAATATTTTTATATCTCTTTTGTTATACTATGCAAGTTTGGAAGGTTTGTATATTATACAAACATGTTTTAAGTAATTTTTACAAAGAGAGATGGCTGTTTAGCGTGTGTGATTCACTTTTTGAAATATTTAAAGTAATAGTGAAATAAAATGTATATTTACATATTTATAGTTACACAAAGTTACTTACAACAGTGCCTCTCTTTTTGTTTAAACACGATTTAAACATAAAAAAATTTTACACTTAAACATCTCTAAACTAAAGTTTCTCTGCATTTAAATAATCACATTTGAATCTTAAATTTTTATTTAATTTTAAAATATGAGAATAATTTAAAAAATTTAAATCATTACACAATTAATGCTTATTTGTTTTTCTCTCATTTCTTTTACAGTTTTTGCAACAACAGAACCATGTGCCTTACGTACTACTAAGTATGGTTCAGTATGTGTCTGTAACGTAACTTATTGTGATTATTTAGAAGAAAATGATATTCTTCCCATTGAGTCAGATGATTTTGCAATTGTATCTTCATCGAAGGTAAATGATAATTATGAAAAAGATGTTTAAACGAATTTCAATAATATTTTTTAAATGATAATTATTGTGTGTAAACTATCTTGTATTTTTTAGGCTGGGTTAAGATTTTCATATCTGAAAGGAAATTTTCATCAAGAAAGTATTGTTGTTGAAGATGCTCCAAAACACATAGAATTAGAAGATAGTTCTAAAATATTAAAACAACAAAATTCAGGTTAGATGCAAATTGAAGAATAAAACATTTAAAAGCATAAAATCGAAATTTCGCATCATCCATCATAGTTTTACTCGCATCATTACCTATATAATATTTAAAACATCGAAGTCAACATAAAGTCAATTTTGTGCTGTCAAGATTCCAATTTGAATAGCAAAATGTTAACTTTCAATTTACTTTTAAGAAATCAGTAATTCACAAAAATAGTTTACCTATATTTCAACCTCTAGTGTTTAAGTGCTTTCGAAAGAAAACAGTAAAATATTGCTCTTACCAGAGTTTTGCTACTACACTAATAGATATTTCAAAAAATTTACTTTCAATCTTAATTTTATTAATGAAAATTGAGGCATCTATTTTTAATATTTTAGAGTCCGCCCTACAGGCGAACTTGTGTATTAGAGGCTTAAACTCAATTTAATTTTTGAAAAATACAAAAATGTTTTTAATATTTATAAAAGATTATTTAAATTTAAATTTACTTTTTATAAATATATTAAAAGTTAAATTCAAAAGGTTACTTAAGCTAACTGGTTCTTATTACAGATTATAGTCAGTTATCAGTCAGTTTTCAGTCTTGCAATTAAGAAATTTTAACAGCATCTTTCAGGGGAGTAAAATTAGCACAACTATGACCGCACAGAGATGGTTTTGTAAAACAAAATTCTGGTAACAGCAAATATCACTTAAAATTTTGATTTTAAGTGATAGTTGCTGTTGCCACAGAAATGTAAACATTGTGAATATATGTACAGATAACAATCCATTCAGGTCGTATGTCACAAATTCAAGCACTTACGCGGTTGATTAATTACCTTCTTAAGATGCCTCTTGAAGTAAACAATAATTTTAAAAACTTTTAAGTGTTAGATATTTTGCAAATTATCTATTATTAGAACAAATTTCCAAGATAAGAATAAACTTTTTTTTTTATTTGATTTTCTATTTTTATTTTAATAAGTACAAAATAATTATTGAAAAGAGCATTTTTGTTTAAATTTAATCTTAGTTAAGACAACATTCTTCACTTGTTTACAGAAGCGTTTGATTGCTTAAAGTTTTTTTTTATATTTTCCATTTACATTGTTTGTATACTTAATCTCAATAGTATATTAAAGTTTCTTTGATTTATTTTAATTGTAAATACTATTTGATTATTAAATTACAAAAAGTAAATAACATTTTTATTGATTAATGCATTCTTCTATATACAAAATTCGATTATTACGATTTAGACGCCTTCATATTTGATGATGCCGTCATTAAAATTAATAGAAATGTTTCTTATCAAAAAATTGTTGGTTTTGGAGGATCATTTACTGGAGCAGTTTCTCATAATTTGGATCAGTTACCAGAAGAAATACAAAATCATGTTTTTAGGTAATTGCTCTAATTTCCCTAATTTATTTTGATTTTACTTTTATTTGTTTTAAAGGTCATATTATTCAAAAAATTCTGGAATTAGTTATAATATGATGAGAATGCCGATTGGTGGATGCGATTTTGATTTAAAACCATGGGCTTATAATGAAAATCCCGTAAATGATGTGAATTTAACAAGTTTTTCTCAATTAGATGAAAGAGATTTATATAGAGTAATTTTAATAATCCCTTGAAAGTATAAAAAATTAAATTTAATAAATTATGAATAAATTGTAGCTCAGTCAAATTCAAAAATTAAAGGAAATATCTAATAATTATGATATTAAGCATATGTCATCTGCTTGGAGTCCACCACCATGGATGAAATCAAATAATGATTGGACTGGTTTTAGTAGTTTAAAAAAAGAATTTTATCAAACTTGGGCTGATTATCATTTAAGGTATTTCAATTTTATTGAGCAATGTATAGTATTAAGGTTTTATTTTTGTTAATTTTTAGATATTTAGAGTTAATGGAAGCAAATAATGTTAAAGTATGGGCAATAACTACTGGAAATGAACCATTAAATGGTGTTATTGGTTGGATGTTTGTTCATTTCATGAGCTTAGGATGGACACCAAAAAATCAGGTATCATGAAAGTTTATTGAAATTTTAAAGTAAATTTAATATTCATTTTAATTTTTAAATTAAAGGCTATATGGGTTGGAGAAAATTTGGGACCAACTTTAAAGAATTCAAAATTTAAGGATGTAAAAATATTTGGAAATGATGATCAACGTTATACTTTTCCTACTTGGTTTAAGTTGGTAATTATTTGCCTTTTCTTTATTATTTTTTTTTTTAAAATGGCTTTAAAATTAATTTTTATTATGAATTGCTCGTAGATGGAGCGAACACATGAAAATTCAACATCATATCTTGATGGATTAGCTGTTCACTGGTATTGGGATATGTTTTTTCCACCAAATTTGATTGCGAAAACTCATGAATTATATAAAGATAAAATTATTATTAATACTGAATCATCAGTTGGAGATAAACCTTTAGAAACTCATGGTATATGTTTATGTATTTTTGTGATATATGAATAATGATGAATAAGTCAAATATATTAGGTTCAGCATTTAAATTCCATCCAATATCAATTATTATAAAAATTGTTTAGAAAAGAATGTTATAAAATTTTTATATTCATTTTTTAAGTTTAAAGGTTGTCATAATATTTTATTATAGGACCAGAATTGGGATCGTGGGATCGCGGTGAAAAATATGCTAACTATTATATGGAAGATTTACAAAATTGGGTTAACGGTTGGATTGATTGGAATTTAATTTTGAATGATCATGGTGGACCAAATTACGTTAATAATTTTGTGGATTCAGCTGTAATATACAATAATGGTGAGTAAAACTACAATAATATCTTGTTTTTCTTATGATTTTAAGAAATTTAAATTTATTTTCTTTATTATTTTAGATAACACTGAAATATATAAGCAACCCATATTTTATGCAATTGGACATTATTCAAAATTTTTACCAGAAGGATCAATTAGAATTGAATCATCGGGAAATTCAAGAAATATAAAAAATGTTGCATTTTTAAGACCAGATGGAAATATTGCTGTCATAATTCTTAACAAGTAATAATTTTATTATGTTTTTGCTTCATTTTCTCTTTACTTTTTTGTTAAAAATTTGTTGAAAACTACATGTACCATAGGGAAATCTCCTAATATAAATATTCTTATGTAAATGTTACTTAACACGTTCAAACATCTGTGAAAATAGTATACGTGTTCTTTTTGTTTAAATTATGTAATACTAGTATTTTTGAATAACTCATTGTGTCGAAATACTTTTAAATTCTAGAAATATAGAAGCAGTTAAGATGGACGATTATAGTTCATTCTTTAAAATTTTTATTCTTCTACTATGAAGTATGCAACTCAAATCTATATACTGCTTTACAAACCATAGATTTTATTCAAACTGATTAAAAGTAAGCTTGACAATCTTGAAATGAAAACTGTTAATACTAAATTTTATTCGTATTTTACAAATCCTTTCAATACATACTTTAAAAATATATTTAAAAAATTTTACAATAAATTGCGAAAATAATTCTGATAAACATACACACGTACAGAAAAGTTCAAATTATACTCTTCAGTATTTCACTTCCTGATTTCCATACATAATTTTCACCTAGTAGAGGTACGATTTCACTTGAAAAACGTGTGAATTCTTCAGGTGCGCAAGAATTCATGTACATATTACAGCTGATGAAAGTATCTTATGAACAAATTTTTAAAATTATGTACAATATTGAGTCAGTTAACATATGATGTTGTTCGTGAGTGAACGTGCTGTGCTGGAGTTTTAATTTTGAATATTTTTTAATAAAACATAATTTTTTTTTGAAATTTATTTTGGATTTTAAAAACTATTTTCTTATATTTTTCATTTTTTGTTTTATTTGTAGGAAAAACAAACTTGTAAAATTAAAAATTGTGGATGAATTACGAGGAAATATTATGATCTCAATACCACCAAGATCTGTGCACACATTAATTTTTAAATAATGATGATGAACATAAACATCAAAAAAAACAAAAAAAAAAATTATTTACATTTAATTTGTTACAATTTTAAATTTTATAACTTTGGAACATCGATTTAATCCGAAAAGAAATTTTATTACTTAAAAATGTTTTTATATACTAAAGATATACACACATGCATATATAAAATAAAATAATATCTAAAAATATAATTATATATAGTGAGATATTTTTGTTTTTTTTGAAATATATGAAATGTACATAATTTTAATTAATAAGCTATTTGTAATACATAATATTTATGTAAGTAAACTATGTGTCTGTCTGGTAGCAAACTTTAGTGAGTTATTTTTCTTTTGTTTTTCTTGTTTCCAATATAAATACATTGTATCTTTATAGTACTATAAAATTAAATTTTTAAATTATAAAATATTCTTATGTTGTAGACATTTTATGAATCTAGGTACATATTATATATGCTTCATATAATATGTTAGAGATGTCAAACCTTTTTCATTAGTTCTATGTCATAATTTGTGAAAAATATTATTAATAACATTAGGTGTTACGTTAAAATTGTGTACAAGAAGTGCAACATTACGAAATAAGAAAATCCCAATTGAAAAAATAATAAGTTTAATAAAAAAATGGCATATATTTTATGAAAACGAGAGATTCAAAATGAATTTATAAATTTTTCGATTATAAACGTATACAATAAAACAAAAATTTAATGAATTCATTCAATGAAATTTAAAAATGGGTTTAAATATAAATTTTAATTAAAAGGGAATTTTCGATAATTCAGATATGTACTTAAAGTTCTAACTTAGGGGATATTCGATAATTCAGTTCCAATTTAAGTCTTAATATAAAGCACGCCTCGATAAATCTAGACTGAAAATCAGCAAAATTGACATTTTCGGTAATGGCAGATGTGTTTTAAAATCTAAAGCAATTTTTATGTTTTCTTATAATTACTGCAAAAATAAATTAGAACAGGAGTATGATAGAAAAATGTTGGATATTGAAGAATTATTGGTATTGAAGAATCTGGAAAAGTGAAATAATCAGTTTCAACAAAGAGGCAAGTATGTGTAGAGATTTTTAAGATTTAATTTAGAACTTTCAGTGGATATCTGAATTTTCGGAAATCGCCTTAAATCTTAAAAATTTTTTTGTTTTTGCATTGTTGCAGATCTAGAAGAACTAACTAGTTTATTTTTTCAGATTCTTAATATCTTACATTTTTCTATGTTATTTTTTTTAAATGTAAAGTAGTTTTGCAGCTTTTAAAAACTTTAAAAATGCTTTAGAAGTTTAAGAATGCTAAAATTTTTGAACGTACTTCTTTGAGAGGTATATCGAACACTCTACCTTTAAAAATTTTGTTGTATTTTAATCTACCGAACATGTTATATATTAAGACCTAAACTAAAACAGAACTTGCAAAAACCTTCGTAAATTTGTAACATTATTTTTTTTTTAAACTAAAGCTTCATTGATTTTTTCATTCATTTTTATATAATTTATAAAATAACTGAACACTCTTTACGATTAGAACATTAAGACCATATTTTTGAGATTTTTAATTTTATTATTAATCATTTTAAATTTTATTAATAATTTTACGCACTCTTGTACTATAACGTTTAACGAACATTTAGTTCGCTCCTGTATTAAACCATTTAATTTACGTACTGCAAAACCTAAGGAACGCATTCCAAAAATATTTTCCACCGCTGTACCAGATCATCATATATAAAAAATATAATTATATTATGTCACTTTAACAAAATATTTTGATTTCTATGAATCACAAACACCGACAGACATAATGTAAAATATTTCTGTATATATTACAGTTGCATTTTATGTACCTATTACTTTTTTGGAGTGGAGCAATATTAAAATAAAAAAATTGCATATTTATGAGCAAAAATTAAGAAACGTATTTTAAAGTAGATTTATGTAGAAAAAATCTTAAATTTGTTTTTTGCTTTCATTACTATTTCAGTGCATCTCAATTGTTCAAAGTTTTTGTTAACAAATTAAAGAGTTTTTTTTTTGTGTGATTTTAATATTTAAAACATAATTAGATGCTTAATTTTATGAAGAACACCCAGAAGATACACTATTAAAACTACATACATACATGTAAAAGAGCTAGTATGTATATTATTATAGGTACTTGAAAAAATCGTAAAAATTTTCTTAATTCTTGGCACGCATTAAGAAAAGAGATAAGATTTTGGAATTTTTTTCTTTTAATTTACTTTTCACAAAAAAAAAAATAAATAAAAGAAATTATGAAAAATTCTCATCTATAAAAATTATTATATCTCGCAATTTTATAAATTTTGTAATATTATTAATTGAATTATAAAAAAAAAAAAAAATTAAATGGTTAATTAAATTCACAGAATAAATTGACAAAAATTTAATATTTTTTTATGCACACATCGGTACATACCCACATACATTATAATTTTTCCCTTAATTCCCTCTAAATAACAAAGAAAATACAAAAAGAATAAAGTTTATTTCCAACCCGAGGCAGTTTTAAAATTTTAAATACATACATACTTACAGAACATTAATATATGTATGTATGCGCATCTTACTTTTTGTGACATCATAATAAAAAATAATATATAAAACAAAAATAAGAAATTACAAAAAAAAAATTCTATTTTACATGCTAGTATTGCATGCTTCATATGCATTTCTCGCCTCACTTCAACGCCTAATGTCACTCAATCGAATCAGAAAAATGTAAAAATGTAAAAACAGGAAGATGTGTAATGCTCTCTTTTTTTTTTGTTTTGTTATTCTTAAATCTAAAATTTTTTTTTATAATAAACACGTTTATATAGAATATTTTAAATATGTATACACATACATACTATACAAATTACAAGTAAATACATACTTACATAGTACAGCAGAAACGGATTAAAAAAATGTTTACAATGGTTCCGGTGGTTTTAAATACATTTTTTTAATGTTTTTTTTAAATTTTTATATGCTAAAAAAAAAAGGTGTTTAAAATAATATTACTCTTGATTTATGTTTTATTAAATGCATGCGTTTATTCTTTAATAAATTAAAAAAACATTTTTATTCGGAATATTGCATAAAATGTATTATGCATGATTCCGTTCGGAATAATTTAAATTCGAACGGAATTATTGTGATGATATTTTAAGTATTAACTACTCAGTAATTTCATACTCTTATAAAATTTCTTGCTCTCTTTCTTGAAATTTATTGTATTAATGTATGTATAAAGGTTTCAGCACACAATAAATATTAATGATTATTGTAATCGAACTTCCATTGATGATTCTAATCAATTGTAATCGAATAGATAAACAATTGTATTTATATTGTAATAATTATACTCGTAATACTGTTCAAGTTTAAATTCATATATCTCTTAGTAGCAACAAGAATTTAATCTATATTAAAATTTTTAAATTTATTTTCTATTTCTTTTATTTTAGGTTTTGGTGACTCTAAAGAAGCTTCGAAAAGTATTTCTTTGTTGTTGGTATTATAAGGCGTCGTAAGTCAAACTGAAATAATTTTTGTACTAAGTATATTATAAAAGTAAAATGATAAAAGTAAATTAAACAAAAATATAAATATGTAGCAAAGTACTTACCTTGATATTGTCATAAAAAATTAGGAACAAAAATTTCACTCTTAATTAGATTTTTTCTGGGTTTATTACAAATATAAGTCGAATTGTTTTGAACTTTAAATAAGAGGTACCGTCCAACATTTGAGGTTTAAAGGTACCATCGATACATATCAAGTAGGCAAGAGTTATCAAGTAACAAAAATTATTAGTTCACAGTTTATCGCGATACGTAAATATGTAGCGAAAAATGCGCTTAATTAGTGTTCATAGACAAAATGTGTTCATAAACAAAATGTACTGTTTTGATTTTATAGAATAGTTCAAAACATATTGCATATTCATCACATTAGAGATTTTCATAAACACCAAACTGCAAAACAATAATGTGATACATACGCAGTATATTTTTGACATTTGTGTAAGAATTTTTGCTATTTTGAATTTTTAATGTTGTCTTCATGTGAAGAAAAAGTGTCGTTAGCAAAAAGAAATTTATTTATTTTCGGCCAAATAGTTGAAATATCTATTTCAGGAAAAATAAAAATTAAGAAAAACAAAGAAAAGAAAATTGAAACAAAAAGAAATTTTGTTATTTTTAAGTAAAACAATTAGAAATTAAAAATGTAAAACCAAACTGCAAAAACTGGTAAAAAAAAACTACAGCTGTTTTAAATGCACTAGCCATGATAATTTAAATATTTTTGTGATAGATTAACAATGTTTATGAACAAACTTGATTAGCAACATTTGTTTATGAACACAAACATAGCGCATAGTTCTCGCTATATATCGCGATATACTGTGTTAATGAAAAGGCCTATTATGTTTTTGCAGTTATTGTTTTGCAGTATTTCGTTTATGAAAATCTCTGTTATTTCATATACTACAATCTGTAATATTGTGGTTAGAATTTTATAATATTGCACTATATATTTTTTTATTTTGCCACAATTTGTTTATGAAATTTGAGAATATAATAAAAATACAATATATTAATGTTATAATTAAAGAAATTCATAATATGTGTATTAATTATATATAAATATATATGGGTAATTCTTCCAAAAATAAAAAAATTTGGAATTCCATTCCCAATTATTGAACCCTCAAATTTAATTTCATTTCAAAATATTATACTTAGAGTACATTTGACAGTATAACAAAATTATATTTTTAAGTACTATTTTGTATACACACATACACAATGGTTATGTAAGTTTACACAATTATGTAAGTTTATAAAATATTTTCTAATATTTCTTTTTTTTTTTTCTTGCCTTTCTCATTAAATTAATGACAAAATAATTATCTACATATTACTTATACTTTAATATAATATGAAAAATATTTAAATGTCTCCAGAGACAGAATTAAAAAAAAAAAAAATTTTATTATTTTATTTTTTATATTCTCTTTGGTATTGAAAAAATATTTTAGTATCTTTTTTTTTTGAATATTTACAATATTCTCTTGCGTATTAAATATTATAAAAAAATATCAAAAATCTTTTTAAATAAATTTTAAATGTTAAGCACTTATTCTATATTTATATGTATATATATACATGAAATGCATTCATAATAATGGTGTAATTCAATTTCATTCAAGAATCCCGAACAAATAACAAAAAAAAAAATTTAACATCAAAATCCACAAAAATAAACATCTTCATTTTTCTCTTAAATATACTTACATGCTACTTGCATAATATTGTACTTAAAATATGCATTTAATGTATATACACATACAATATTATTGTGTAGTGTGTGTTTTGACAACTCACATAATTTAAATTGACTTTGAATCTGTTGATTTACAGTTGAGATCATAAAAAAATTTTTTTTTGTTTTAAAAGGAAAATTGTTTTCCTTTTTTTGTTATTATTTTTACTTTAATTTTTTTGATATACCAATTGGTTTCACTTAGTGATGCGTGTTAAATGAGGAATTCCCAATTCTATACTTGAAAGATATACCATTTTTATAATAAATATTATAATAGATAGGATACATTTCAAGGCGGTATTTATAACAAGGGTCTTATTAGCCGGATATGACCTCTTAAAACAAAATATCAATTGATGTGTAATGTTATAGTACGTTAATATCATTTTTACTTTTTTTAAAAATTCCATATTAAGTTTTCATGAAAGGAAAATTAAGGGTATAAAAATACTTACATACTTATATAATTATTATGATTGTGTGGAAAAAATCACTTAAAATTGGTAGCGCACATTAATGAAAATTGGTTGTTCTGCTTGTTTTCCTTTTATCTTTTACTCTATAGTTACGTCATAGCATTAAATGCGTAGCAGATTGTATATAAAATGCTCTTAATATTGAAAACTGTTTTTTTTTTGTTTTAATTATTATTTATGTATTGAAGATATTTTTATGTTGTTTTACTAACAATCAAATTCTCATATTTTGAAGTTTACACCTTGAATAAAAATATTGCATGTAATAACGTGTGTACATATGTGTATATGAGTTATTACAATTCATGTTCGAAAAGTACAATAAAATTAAACATAGCGTATAAAATGTAATCTGTTTCAAGTTTAACACTTTCATACACATGTAATTTTTTTTTGTATCTAAAAAATTTACGTTGAAAAAACTCTTTGTAGTAATCTAAATTTTCCAAACCCATTTGTACCCATCCTCTATACTCTTTTATAATAAATTTATTATGTGCATAGTTTTAGGCGCAAAATTTATAAGTAAATGATTAAAAAAGTAACAGTTAGCCAGGCTTTCGGATAGTCAAATTAATGATTAATCGTTTGATGTGATGTAAAAATTGACAATTACAGTAAATCAAATCATTTACAACCAATATATGTGAATTTAGTGCAATTTTTAAAAATTAAAAGTAAAATCCGTGTGTTATCCTTTTATAATTTTTCCGAACTTACAGACATCACTTCTTACAGCTCTATAAAGATGTTTCTGATGTAAGAATCTTGCAGTTTGTTCTCCACTTATCTTGCACTATCTGCTGTTTTTGACCATCCATTTTACTTACGTTGCAAATCCAAAATTATGATAATTGAAACTACAACTGCAACTATTAATGGCGAACTTATGACGTTTTGAAATTTTTACACAAATGACATTCACGAAAGCAGGGATAGCAATCACATTGTTCTTGACAATTACAATCCTAATCAATTATTTAATTTTACATAAAATTACAATATTTTAACGTAAAAGAACAACAACATGGAATATGAAACGAGAAAATATCGGAAGCATTGACTAGAAACATTTAAACTCAAATTGTGTTTCAATTACATGAGTCTACGAATTCATGCAAAATATTTATAGCTAAGCATTAAGCAAATAAATTAATTAGAAGAAACAAATGCAAAATATTTTAATTACAAAAATTTTACTATCATCAATAATACATAAGTATTGTTTTGCTTTTGTAACAAATTTATACATTATTATATTTGACTTAAATCGAAAAATCAAATTAAATTTAGCCTTCTTATTAAAGACTAAAATTTAATATTTTATACCTAATATCTGTGGAAATATGTTTGAAATCAAATAACTTAACTTAGTACATTAGATTTGGATTTTCCGAAACTGAATTCATATTTAGTATAAATTGGTATAATTCGGACTTTGAATCAAATTAATGTAAGTAAAACGGCAATGCAAAAAAATTTAACGAATTCTTCTTTACTTGCTATACTTATTATACTTATTAATCTATACTAATTTTAACTTATTTAATTTTGTCTTATTGCCACAGATTATTTATCAATATTATATTTCATTCTTATACTGTACAAATAATTTAACTATAATTATAATACACAATTTAAAAAAAGAAACAAAAAAAAAATAATTTTATAATATTCTAATTAACTATATTTAATTTCACATTTAATTGGTAAATTATTATTATTATTATTGGATTTCGTCACATTCGACGACGACCGTGTACTGTTTAAACTATTAATTTTAATATCATTATTAATATTTTGAACTATTAAATTAAGGCATTCCAAACTTGATTCAGTTCTTGATGTTGATGATGATGTATAACAGTTATGTTCTAATAAAAAAAAATAAAAATAAATATTTGAATTAGAAATTATTTGTAAAATTTTATGAAAAAAACGTAAAATATAAATAGTAAACTTTAATAGAAATTTATTTAAAATCATTAAAAGAATTAAATTTAAGGAAAGTTAGAGTCTAAGCCTTCACTTTATATACATTTAGAGTTCATATTTAAGTGTTCTAAATTTTTGTTAATGCAATGGATATTAATAAAAACTTTCAATATAAATGACAATAACAATTATTTTCTTCTGTGGTTTCAATGAAAACCAGTTAAATAATAATTAATTAAATTAAAAATTTAGTTTTAATGTTCATACAAAATTATATGGCTTTTAATAACTTCATACGAATAATGAAGCAAAGTAAAGGACAATATACAAATATTTGGAATGTAAATTAACTTTCAAAAATCCTTAGTATTGAGTTAGCAAAATTGTTATTTAAAAAAAAATAATTATAATTTTTTAATTGTGGTATAAATTGCAATAACATGAAGTATAATAATATGTTCATCAATTTTTCTACAGAATATGTATGAATATAAAAATATGAATAATTTGAGTTGCAAACAAAAACAGACCCGCAACAACTATCAAATTCGACTAAAACAATAGACATTCTGAGTATCGATTCATTAAATGATGGTGACAATATTATATCGTAAAAAGTTCCATGTTATTATTGTAAACACAAACAAATTCATACAAATGATTCATTCGTTCCTGTAATAAAATTCTTGAAACTTTTACGGAAAATATCTCTATCACATCTTAGTGATCCGATAAGCAAAATTTATTCATAATATTATTACTTATGACCACAGAATTATTTATTTCACCTCCTAATTCTGGAAATTATTAAAATAAAATTTCAAATAATTTGAATTATCAATTGTTATACAGCAATCAAATATGTCAAAATCAAATTAAATCACACTTAAATAAAATTTCGAAATTAGGTCATTATTATGATCGGCGAAGTGAATGAGCTGTCAAATATGTCGAATTCTGTGTGACAATTAATACATAGCGTTTTTTTTTTTGGATATGCTATAATATATAGTGATATAATGGAAAAATCTAAACCATCTGTAAAGTAAATTTATAAAATTCTACAAATTATTGTAAAATATATTGATTGTTTAATATTAATTTATGCGTGAAAAACGAACCAAAAACAATTCGAGCATTTTAAATAAATTAATGGACAACAACAGGGAAATTCAATTGTTTTTGCAAAAAAGCAAAAACAATGTACATAATGTGTGGTGTTAACCTTATTATGATACCTTAATGTCTTGCGGTAGCAAAATTTTTGATCTGACTTTTGAACCATTCGTCGATCATAATTTAAAATACACTAAGTCCTCGAGATACGACATTTTTGGTTCCAGAAATTTATGTCGTAACTCGAATTGTCGTTTGAGGAGGAAAAAAAATGTATGGAAACAAAAAGTGAAGTAGACAAACTGTTTTATAAAATAATTGATCTTTTTTTTTTTTAAAAAAGGTAACAAAGTTTGAAAAAAACAACAAAATATAATAACAAAACCAAAAAAATTCAATGATGTAACAAAAATAAATAAAATAAAATCTAAATAAGTTGATATTTTATCACTTCAATTCGTATTCTTAACTACTAACTAGAATTTTTAACTAGAAAGAGTTCATTGTTGAAGTATGTGCTTTAGTCTCGTCTTATAACTAAATTCGGTATAGATTTTTATTCAAAAAACAGTAAAATCTGTCAAAAAAACAATTTTTTTTTTAATTTTCAATGTCGTATTAGGAACAATGTCGTAAGCCGAATAAAAATGATCCAAATTTATATCATGTCGTAAATCGAAATGTCGTATTACAAGATGTCGTATCTCGAGGACTTAGTGTATTATATTCGACTCCCCTAGTCATTCGCTTCGCCGATCATAATAAGGGTATTAATCATTTAAAATTTTCTAAATTCAATCCTGGTAAGCTCTTCTTAAACAATTATAAAATTGAGTCTTGTTTAGTATTTCATTATTAAAAGCACTGCTAAATTTAGAGAATTTTATACAATTACTTGCTTAAGAGAATTTAAAGAAACTTTTTTGTTTTATTTGACTCAATTACTTGTTTCTGTTTTTTTTTTCCTAAAATTTTCACTCTCAAATTATTTTATACTTTCATTTTCATTCATTTCTGTATTTCATTTATATTTCATTTAATTGAAGTTTATTTGATTTTATTTTCTAATTTTTAATATTAATTAGGGCGTTGTAAATTAAAAGAAAAATTGTAAAATTTTTTCATTTTCTTCTAATATACACATATGTAAGTATGTATGTATACATCCATACAGATTTTATTGCATTACCTGAAATTGGTGAATATTTTTCTACATCCTTACCAAGTTGACTAATTTTTTCTCTTAAAAATGATCCCGTATATGAAGACTGCAAATATAAAGAAAAAGAGCAAAAAAAAAAAAATAAAACATTAATTTAAATACAGAAAAAAAAAGTAAAACATGAAAAAGCAATAAAAAAATTAGAAAAATTAAAAAAAAAACCAAAACATTTTAAAATTTTTTTTTTTGTTAAATAAAGAAAACAGAAAAAATGTGCTCCAATTATTTAAAATCCATTCTACAGTGTCAAAATCAAAGATCATAAATTAATCTTTGTATTTCTAAAGTAAAGAAAAATATCTTCTAATTGACGCTTTTGGCGAATAAAGAATCTTTTCTAAAAAAAACAACAACAACAACAACAAAAAATACAATAAGTGTATAAGTGCGTGTGTATATAGAAAAAAAAAATCTTCATTTTCTTCATTAAATATTTAAAAATAAATAAAATATCTACATTTAGAAGAAGAACAACAAATTAAAATTATATATGTATATATATATTGTACACATACCCATTAAACACATCCGTACATACTTGAATAATTACTATAAATTTTGTTTGTTTTCAGATAATAAAGATTTTCGTGACAAAAGGTATTTAAGTGCGCGTACACATATTAGAATTTAAGTGAAATTTTTTAAGGAAAGCACGCGGAATAATCAAGAGAATGCGAAGATTTTTAAAAATATTAATATTATATACATACATATATGCACACCTATATACATACTCTCATATATATTTATCTGCTATCAATTATAAATTCTATATATACCATTTAAAATTTAACAAAAAAAAAAATTGAAAAATTTTTTTATAAATTAGATTATTTTAGACATACATACATAGATAAAAAAAAAATTTATAAATATATTTACGAATAATATGCGTTTGTACATAGATATTAAAGGAAATCCTATTCAAAATAAAAACGTTCTGTATAATTTTTATATAAAATTCACTAATTCTAAATACATATACATATATACGTATTAATTTCCGGTTATTTTCCGAAAATGAAAATGAATGATCAAGATGAACAAATCCTTGTAAGCCTCATTGAAACAAATATTATGTGTATATGTTTTTATTTTGAAACGCATTTTAGCTTAAAATTTTAATGAGAACTCTTTATTATATGACATTTTAATACCATATACAAACATACACAATATACATTTGTATGTATGTATAATATCAATGCATGTATAGATCACATATTAAACCGTTAAAAAGGCTAATATAACGGATGATTTTTTTTTATTAAGTATTTAATTTTCCATCTTTTTATTTTTAACATTTCAAAAGTGATTCTTCAATATAGCTTCTTTAATATTGGGGCTTATTCTGAAAATCGAACAACTGAGTGATTGTCGTAAGTATCGTAATAAGTTCGTTAATATTATTGTAAACGCAAACTAACTCATATAAATAATTCGATTCGTGTTTATAATAAAATTTTTGAAACTTTTACAATAAATATCAATATCATTTAGTAATTCGATACTCGGAATAAGCCCCATTTTTTGTCAATTTCAAATAGAACTCAGTTCAATTCATTATTTAAATTTAAAGTGACTCGTGCCCGATCAGCAATTTTAAATTATTTAATTTCTTTAATTAATTAAACTATTAAGAGTATACGGCGTGGTATTTACTTTACTCTTTGGACCTTTTTATTAACTGCTCAAAACAATTAATATCTCTAAATTATTTTTCTTGTCATATATGTGTATGTATATGTCCATGAAATTTCTTGTTCATATCGAAATATAGCACTAAATAAGCAGAGTTGGAAAGCAATCCCTTAATGCATAATTATGGAGATGTGAGAATAAGTGGTTTTTCTTAGAACTAGAATCATCTCACACGTAGTCGCGGCTAACATTTCTCTCAAATACTAGTTGTGAAGAATATATCAGTAATTTTATTTTATTGAAGCTATTTTATTTTATTGATTTAAATAAAAATGTCATGGAAATACGAGTAATTTTTTTTGTGTTATAATTAGCTTATAAGTTTTTCAAATCTTAATACTTAAAAAGTCACCCACTATATTCTCATAAAGAAAATATATGAAACGATGATAAAAGAGCGCTTGAATAAAAAAAAAAAATATTAACATGAAAATCCCTATTATATTAAATGTACAAAAAAAAAACTAATATTCATTATGGAATTAAGTTGCCATAAATTCATGTAATCATGATGCATTATTTTCCAGCTTAACTCTTAAAATTGATTCATTTTTATTATTATAAATTTATAGTTCTTGAAAAATTTATAAAAAACACCGAATTATATATAGATTAAATAAATTATTATATATTGTGCATTATACATAATATATGCAGCATGGAAAACTGCATGGTTTTTAAAATTTCTAAATTCCACATTTAGAATTGGGAAAAGTAATAGTTCACTCATCTTCTCATAATACTGGTTCTTATTCTCTCTCTTTTAAAAAATTCATTGTTATGCCATCTGCGTGGTAGATGTTTTTTCTTTCATTTCTCTTTTTACTGAATGCAATACAAAATTTTCCTTTTTAATTTTTAATAATTTTCAATATTCTTACATATGCACTTGGAAAATAATAAAAATGTTTTTTTTTTAAATATAAAACAGAAGAACTCCCATGATATTTTTTTATGTATATTGTACAAAAACTCCTTGTACAATAATCATCATGTTAGTAAAACATGAAAGTGAAAATGATTAACAGCACTTCGAGATGATAAACTGTTTCCATGAAGATTTTAAGTCTTATTAATGCAATTTAATATCAAAATCTTATCCCATACAGCATACGAAGATTTTAAATTCTTATTATCATGTACTAGAGGTACATTGCCGGGTACATACATCCGTATTAATGAGTACGTGTACTTTTAAATTCAAAGAAAATTATTTTTTTTTTATCTATCGTCTGAGAATCCAAGAAATCTTAAGAAAAATTTGTAAGAATTAATTTAATTGCTAATCAAAAATATATTTTATGCGACAAAAATAAAAAAATAAATAGGTATAGGAAAAAAGGAAGAAAATTAAAATTAAAATAAAATTAGAAAAATTCAAAAGATTTTGAAATGTTATTAACGTTGATTAAAAACATTTTGCTAATTGTATTCTTGAAAGTTTTAATAAATCTTTTTTCTTGCTATATCTGCGACAAACAAATATGATTTATTGTCTCTAACAGCAAAGGTATTTGCAATTGTCTTTGTGATTATCTTCTTAAAGAAGAAATAGGTGCGCGAAACGCTAATTAAAAAATAAAAATAAGAAAATTTTGCATAATTTCATTTTTTTTTTTTGTGTTTTGCCAACTAAGTACGAGATGCGCCTAAAATTTAAATATTTTTAATTTTAAAATAATGATCTTTGCTTCTCTTTGATAAAATATTTTATTTGGGAAAAATTTTTAATATTATAGAGAAATTTTTTTTTTTAGGAAATTAAAAATATTTTAATTGAGAAAAATAAAATGAATAAAATTCAAATGAATCATAAAAAGAAAATTTTAATTTATTTTATTGAAAATATGGAATTTATAAATTTAAAAAAATAAATGCAAGTTTGAAATATTTTCATAAAAAAAAATGCCACATAATAGGTACGAAATTGGGCTAAATTAACAAGTATAAATTGAGAACATCTTATTATCAAATTGCATATGGTTCTGTTTAATAAAAAATTGTAAAATATTGAAAATATTTGTTATATCTTATATAATACAGTAGAACATTTATATATGTAACACGCGTCTAGATTGAATTCTGAAACGTGTCTAGAACCAATTAAAAATTTAACCTGTCTTTTTTTATTTTACACACATTTTCACATAAATTTTTACACGCATAAATGTAATGCGAATTACAGCCAGCTCGTTTAAAACGTTAGTGTTTCGGTTAATGGTCACTTAATGGTAATCATCGTCTATAATGACACAAAATTCGGGAAGTTCGTTAAAATTATCACTCTTGTATGAGCACATGGTGAGAAGACAATTTTTTTTTTTTTTCAAAAATTCATTTTGTTTTGCCTTCTATTTGTAGTATGTTCGAAAATGTTTGTGTCAAAGGGGGATTTTGGTAGCTAACAAATTGTTATAAATATTAAATCACCAGTTATTTTTTTGGCAATTTTAACAACTTTGATTAAAAATGAAAAATATAATTTGTTTTAATTCAAGGCACAATATGATAGATATTTGATAAAAAATACAACTTCTCTTTATTTGTATTTACCAAAAAAAAATTAATATTTTCATTTAAATAAAAAAGTTATCAAGAATTCAAACCATATCGTTCTTTTTACGTCACCCTGTATTAAATACAAAGTTCAGGTAAATGTAATGAAATCGAAAACAAAATAACAACATTGTACATATATCCGTTTTCAACTGTATATGATATCAAAATAAATTCTATGAAAATAAGAAATAAATTCGGATTATTATAATTTTATTTGTAAAAATTATAAATAAAATATTTTCATTAAAATACCAAAATATAGGAAAATAATTGCATATTTTTAGGATGAGAATTTGCCTTTACTAGTAATTTAAGGCTTTCGAAGTAAAAACTTTTAACATTTCTCTTAAATTCACTTTTTTTCAATCAGGTTTCTTGAGAAGACCGAACAAGTAAATTAGAATAATTTAATCTTAAATAACCAACATTATGATTAATGAAGGTATAGAAGATTAAAAGCAATATTGTTCTTTTATAGTATACCTGTATGTATTAAAATCTAGGTATATAAACACAAATAAAGACATGCATTTTTAAGAAGGTATAGTCGTGTTGAATTAGAACTACCAAATTTGTATCAAATTAGGCATAGTTTATATGTTTTGGTTATTTCATAATGTTCTTCGTTGAATGTATTCTATTGAATGTATTCTATTTCTTGTATAAGTATAAAAGGTACTTGCAAGAATTGTGTCTTTTAATTGACTTTCATATAAGATAAGTTAACGCTCTATGAATAGATTGAATCCGCTGAGTTGAAACTGTAAATTATATTTGAAAAATTAG